ATATATATATATATATATATATATATATATATATATATATATATATATATATATATATATATACATATAGATATAGATATATATATAATATATATGTAGTTAGCTAGCTGCCTGTACACCCGGAACCATAGAATGCTCTATTGATTTTTTGTTTTGTTTATTTCTTTTTCTCTTTTTTGTATTTTCTGCTGCTTGTTGCGGCAGTCCTATAGACACAAAACAGCAACAGCAACAGCAGCAGCAGCAGCAGCAGCAGCAGTGTGTGCATCTGTGTCTGTGTTTGTCTTTGCTGCAGCGCAACAACAGAAAACCAGAGAAGAGAAGAACAGACAAATGTAAGTTTTGTTTTCTTTGTCTCCTACACTCCTAATTAAACCAACTCACAAACCCTAAACCCTAAACCCTAAACAACAAACCCTAAACCCTAAACAACATAAACCCTAAACCCTAAACAACAAACCCTAAACCCTCAACAACACAGACCCTATACCCTAGACAACACAAACCCTAGACCCTAAACAACACAAACCCTAAACCCTAAGCAACACAAACCCTAAACCCTAAGCAACAAACCCTAAACAACAGAGAATAAACAACACACCCTAAACAGCAAGCAATAAGGAACGAGCAATAAACAAAAAACAAAAAAAACAAACAACAAAACAAACAATAAAAAACAAACAAACACGAAACAAATAAAAAACAAATATAGGGGAAACAGAACATACACACAAACAAAAAAATAAAAAAAAAAAAATATAAATAAAAAAACAAATACACAAACAAACGACAAAACATAAACACTGTTATAAACCCTCACAAACCCTAGTAAACCCTAATAAAGGATATAAACCCTTCTAAGCAATACAAACCCTTATAAACCCTAAACCCTAATAAACCCTCATAAACCCTAATACTACTAAACCCTACTAAACCCTAATAAACCCTAAAAAACCCTAATAAATATATAATATTTGTTGTTTTTTGTTTTTTGTTTATCTACAGACGAGCGGATGCAGCTGCATGCGGCGGCTTCCTCAGTGGCAGCAAAATGTTATACATGTAAACAACACACACCAACTGCTGCTGCTGCTGCTGCTGCTGCTGCTGCTGCTTTCTTTCTTCTTTTCTTGTTTGTTTGCTTGTTTGTTCGGTTGGTTTTTTATTTGTTTGTTTGTCTCTTTTTTTTGTATGTTTGTCTTTTTTTTTCTTGCTTTCTTTTTTCTACTTTCTCTGTTTCTTTCTGTCTTCTTCTTTCTTTCTTTTTCCTTTTCTCTCTCTTTCTATATATATATATGTATATATATATATATATATATATATATATATGTACATACGTATATATGTTTTTCTCTTTTTTTATTTCTGTTTGGTGGTTCTTTTGTTTTTTTTTCTTTGCCGCTTTTTTTTGATTGTTGCTTCTTCACTGGAATTACACAAATAAATAAATAAATAAATAAATAAATAAATAAATAAATAAATAAATAAATAAATAAGTAAATAAATAAATAAACTAAGAGACAGAAAGAAAGAGAAAACAAACAAATAAATAGAAATACACAAAAAAGAGACAACAAACACAAAAAGAGACAAAAAAATAAATAAATAAATAAATACAGACAGAAGAAGACAAACAAATAGAGAGACAGAAAAAAGAAAATAAAAAAAACAAATAGAAAACACAAAAAGAAAAAGATATATAAATAAATAAAACACACAAAAAGGAGGAGACAAATAAACATATAGACAGGCACACACAAAAATAATAAATATACAAAAAAATAATAAAATAAATAAATAATATAATAATAATATTTATGTTTATTTCTGTATTCTGTTTCTTCCCTTTCATTTTATTTATCTTCTTTCTCTTGCTGCTGCTGCTGCTGCTGTTGCTGCTGCTGCTGCTGCTGCTGCTGCTGCTGCTGCTGCTGCTGCTGCTGCTGTGTGTCTTCAGACTCTGATGATTGTGACTAGTCTTTTGGCGCTGCTCAGCATTTTATACGTAAGCTTTATTTTTTATTTTATTTTATTTTATTTTATTTTATTTATTTTATTTTATTTATTTTATTTTATTATTTTTTTTTATTTTTAGTATAAGTATACAGATGGATACTTGCTGCATTTATATATAAAAAAGAAAAATAAAAAATATATATAAAAAAGAAAAATAAAAAATTAAAAAATAAAAAAAAATAAAAAAAAAATAAATTAGTGGTGTATGTGCAGTTCCCTGGAGAGTCGGTTCACGATGAAAGACAGCAGCAGCAGACAGCTGTGCCGCAGCGGCAGCAGTTGCTGCTGCAGCAGCAGCAGCAGCAGCAGCAATTGCTGCAGCAGCACCACCTGCATCAGTTACAACTGCAGCAGCTGCAGCAGCACCAGCTACAACAGCAACAGCTACAGGAGCAGCAACAGCATCAGCAGCAGCTACAGCAAGAGCAGCAGCAGCAGCAGCAGCAGCAGCAGCAGCAGCAGCTGATCCATCTACAGCTACAAGAGCTGCAGCAGCAGGAAATACCTTCGCTGCAGCAGCCGCAGCAAGAGTTCGAAGCAATGCAGCAGCAGCTGCTGCAGCTGCAGCAGCTGCTGCACCAACAGCCGCAGCAAGACCTGCAGCGGCAGCAGCTGCTGAGCACGCTAGCAGCAGCAATAACAGCAGCACCAGTATCGACTGGAGCACCAGCAGCAGCAGCAGCAGCAACTGCAGCAGCACCAGCAGCAGCAACTGCAGCACCAGCAGGAGCAGCAACTGCAGCACCAGCAGCAGAAACTGCAGCACCAGCAGCAACTGCTGCACCAGCAGCAGCAGCACCAGCAGCAACTGCAGCGCCAGCAGCAGCACCAGCAGCAACTGCTGCACCAGCAGCAGCAACTGCAGCAGCAAGTGCAGCAGCAACTGCTGCACCGCTGAGCACCGATGAAGCAACAGAAGAGGAGACAGCCAATCGAAGAGATAATCAACGCAGTAAGAAAACAAAAAAGAAAAAATAAAATAAATTATATTTTATATTTTTTTATATTTCTTCTTTTCTATTTATTTATAATTAATTTTTCTTTTTTTTTTTTTTTTATTTTATTTACATTTACTACTTTCTATTTATTTATATTCATTGTTTTATATTTAATTATATTTATATTTTTTATTTAATTATATTTATATTTTTTATTTTATTATATTTATTTTTTTATTTTATTATATTTATTGCGGTGTCTGTACACCCCAAACGCAGGGCTATCTGAGGCGGGTTTTTTGGCTGTTAATAACAAACAGAGAAACGAAAGAAGAAAAGAAAAAGTAAATAAATAAATAAATAAATAAATAAATAAATAAATAAATAAATATTATTTATATAAAGATAAATATATTAACATAAAAAAATATTTATTTATTTATTTATTTATTTATTTATTTATTTATTTTATTTATTTTGTCTGCATGCAGAAAGAAGAAAATAAAATAAAATTTGGTGGCCTTCGCGGAGGTGAAGAGAAATAAAGAGGCAAAGGTAAACTAATTCATTTATTTATTTTTTTATTTATTTTTTTATTTATTTATTTATTTATTTATTTATTTATTTATTTTTATATTATTTTATATTAATATATTTTAATATTTTTTTTTATTATACTGTTTTTATTTTATTATTTAAATAGCATCATATTTGTTGGGGATTCATAATAGTATCGTTTGTTGCTTGATGCTGATATATATATATAT